AAAGAGATGTTCCATTAACTCAATTCGATCCGCCAATATTAATTTCCGACGTATATGACGGGAAGATTAAATATTAAAGAACTTCGCGAGTATTTGCAGTAGACATACGAAAATACCACCAAAAAATTCCGCTTGATCGATACTATATATTCAGAAATATTCATATAATTTTATTGTTTCTCGCTCAATTTCAAGCGCATTTCTTACCTTGAAATGATCAATGCGGTGAAATTTATGCAAATGACACATTATCAATTTTGCTGTTGCATTTTGAATGTTCCACCTGATTCAAATGCTCGTCTTTTTGCTTCTTTTCAACGTATAAAAATAACAAATATACCAAAAGAATCACCATCTTCCATTCTATAGCTCGGAGCAGTCTCGGGAAATTGCAAAATAATCTAAGCCTATTATGGCAATTCTCGTGATCGGAAAGTGTTCGGCCAACTTCAGACGCCAAATTCTTGGTAAAGCATTACAGTTTCCTGGTAAAAGACTGCAGGAATCACTTCCGGAATGTTTGTTTACCCTAGATATGGATTTTGATTGGCTTAGGCAGAAAAACAAATCTTTTAGAGCAATTTTCCTGATTATCGCGCACGGGAACGCACGAGCGTTGAAATGTATTGTGTTGTAGTTTTGTTTGAATCGCATTCTGAAGACGTTTTTGGCTTTATTTTGCAAACTGATAGTGGTAGTAATGATGGAATGTCTTCGTATGAAGACAAGTATCTCAACCTGGCATTGGGAGTCGTGTCTGGAGTTTCAAGGCAAGTATTTGTATCATTTCTAGACAATTTCTATTTCAATGTTTTGCCGTTGCCATGGCGTTGTAAATTTATTTGTATTTAGTATAGCTTCACTAGTACGACCAAGTATGTCCTCATATCGCTTTTTGTGTTGAAATAATCGTTTCATACTGAAATTGACAAATATAAATGGTATTTATTTATATTGTTGACGAAAATTTATGGTGTTTTAGGCATAAAAATCTCTGATTCCTAGGTGAAGTAAAATGAGCCTTGAGCACATGTTTGGTTGTTTGTTACATACATAATAGCCAAGTATTCATACTTATATCTTATTAGTTGGCTCTTATTATAATTTTAAGTGGCACCATGTCTATAAAAGTTTTTATTCGCACTGCTGAATATATAATTGATCCTGTTCCTAACTGCTGTTCCTGTTTCATAGCCTCAGGGAAGTAGAGTTCTGATGAGTCATGAGAACCCCACTCACCAACCCAGAGGGAAGGTAGGGGGATGAGTAGAGGTAGAGGGAAGCCCAGCCATTAGGACCTAAGGTTTTGAAAGCTCCCTGTCTAGCATCCCCACTAGGCCCCATAGTACATGACGGATAAGATGATCCTGACGCCAGGAATGTTCTCCCAGATTTTGCTCCTCACTGACATGTCCGGGATCCACTTCGATCAACTGTGAGCTTGAGTTCATTGGGCTCAATGAACTGTGAGCTTGAGTTCATTCGACTCTTTTTTACTAAGGGAATGCTTCAGGAGGTAGTTTCCTGGCCATACCAATACATATGCCCACATACAAATAACTCAAAAGTTATCCCCATATACTAATAAAAAAGGGTCTTGCAGTCCACCAACCTTGAGAGGTTGATTGCCTTTTAGTATAATATGCAGGTTTGCTAAAGGTCGACAATGAGATTGAACATTATTGGAGTGTAAAAGCTTATATCATGGTCTGTGGGCAATAGACATAATTTCTCTGGTTAGGTACAAAGCGCTTATGGCTTTGTGAATATGGTAGATCCTGTACTAAAGACTACAGCAATAAACTGCATCAACAACTGTACCAGCCGTCACAGAATATTGTTGTTGCAGACAAACACACTGTCAAATCAAGAAATAGGTTGGGGTTAGGCAGTTCATGAAAGCTAGATGACCTACTATGTGGGGAATAAATCTGTGGGTTGCTGCAGACAATCCTAATGGTTATATTGTGACTTTGAAATTTATACAGGAAGAAGTCCAGATATTCATCGCAACAGATTTGGGTATGACGTGGTGATCTGATATCAGTTTGGTTACAGTCTTAGGTCTTTTGTAGTACAATATAAAGGAAATATTTTCACCATATAATCCAATTATGTGCTTTGGCAAACATTACTGCTTTAGCAAACATTACTGCCTTGGAAAACATATTACTTTTTTATAACTACTAATTATGATGATGCCAGCCCAACAACACTTGGTCATGCTATTTGCAAATATTTTCATGTTCTAGATAGTGAAAACAATCAATTTCTAAACAAATGAGTAGTGATTATTTCAAATTTGAATAGCATGACCAAATTTTGAGGCTGGTTATGCCACTAATAACTAAAGTCAATGGTGTAATGATTATCTAAGAATGTATGTAGTAATAGCAGAAATAAAGACATTTTGCTAATCATGATTTGAGTGTTCTTTTGTGGGTATCACAGACTTATTTTGGTGCCATACTATCTTTGGAGAGTAAGAAATATTGGAAATTTGTATTGATAACATGTTGCAGCAATAAAAAAGGACCTTTGATAAAGGTATTTTGTTTCATGTGAGCACAAAATGTAAATTTTACTCCACTACCTAGTTTATATAAAAATTCAATAAAAATATTTCTATTTATGCTACATGCATGAAACTTCGGGTACTTGTAGATCATAACCGTGTCTTTCAGTCATATTCATAAAAATTTTTGACATATTTGAAATTTGAACCGCTAAATACATTTATGCATAATTGCAACATTTTTTTATATCATAATTTATGCAAATTTATGCGAGTAAATCGTTAACCAAGCTCCGGATGAAATTGAAATTGGTATCGTTGGAAAGCAGAAGTCCTCCTCTTTCGAACGATGCAATTTCTGTTTCCGTGCGATGTATAGTTTCAGAGATATAAGCGTTTGAAACAACACCACTCGAAATTGCTACTTTTCGACCGGATGAGAATGAGTTAAAACATAAAAATACTAAGTAACTTACATTATGTTAGTAGGGTAGACAAGACTTCTCTATCCGGATGGAACCCCTACAGTATCCCATGCACATTTATATTGTTTTGAACAGGGATTCAAAACACAGAACTATACCCTGTCATTAATATTCCATCATGAACCACTAATGCCCATGGCATAGAATAAAGATCCATATAGAAGGGCCACTTATGTCGGAAGCTTTGAAGTTTCTGTCCTCGCCATTTCGCATTACGCATGTTGGCCACCTTTTTCCTAGCCAGTCAATGACATTTTCTGGCCAATAAACATGCTGTACTGGCTGGCTGCTCCACCTTCTGGCCAGTAAACTGCATATTTTCCAGACCTTCCAACTTTGTGGCATGAAAATGAGTGAGATTTATTTTTTTCCTGTAATCTGAGTGATTTAGCCCTTCGAAGGTGGGCTGGTGGCAGGCGTTGCCTTAGGGGTGTTCAGGGACATTGGAGTCTCGGAAGTGCCATTTCCTGCATTTTGGGAGAAGATTAACAGAATTTTAAAGGTACAAAAATGTCATTAACAAATCGTTTTCCAGATTTTATGCACGAACAAAGTCGATTGGGACGAAACCCTCACTGGCGACTTGCTCTCGAAGTTCCAGACTGTCATTCGAGAAATACCATGTCTTCACTCAGTACGCGTGCCAAGATGTTATTTCGATGTGACATCTAAACCCACTGAAGTCGAGCTTCATGGCTTCAGTGATGCATCTTCACAAGCGGCCGTGGTTTACATCAGATCAGTCTACGAAAATGGTGGTGTACGAGTCAATTTGGTGGCCAGCAAGTCAAGGGTTGCTCCGTTAAAGAGACAAACCATTCCTCGCCTCGAACTTCTTGGAGCCATGCTACTAGCCAGACTTTGCGAGAAAATCACGAGAACAGTTGGGGAGCTACCCACTACCTATTGGGTCGATTTCATGACGACTCTTTGCTGGATCCGAAACGAAAAACACTGGAAACAGTATGTCCAGCACCGGGTAAACAAAGTTCGCAAGTTGAGTTCTACCTCCGATTGGCGCTACTGTCCAGGCCTACAAAATCCCGCAGATCTACCATCCCGAGGGCTCAGTGCGAAGGATCTCGTGAAAAATAATGTTTGGTGAAATGGTCCGGACTTTCTACAAAAATCACCAAGCGAATGGCCATTGGAGGACCCGTCTGTCGAAACCAACGAAGATGCCAATCAGGAGTCTGTGAAATCCCCTCCTAGTGTAACGCATATTATGATCAACAACGAAAGGAAACCTGTTGAAGCGAGAGTTGACGAAGTGATGCAGATCGAACGGTTTGGCTGCCTACAAAGGTTGTTACGAGTTACTGCGAAGGTATTGCGTTTCATCAGGATCGTAAGGTCGAAGGTTTCAGGAACAGTGCAAGAAGAGACAGTGAACGATGATGTCGATGATCTCAAGGCTGCCGAGGTGTTGTGGGTGCAGGCAACTCAACGATGCAGTTTTCCCGAAGAAGTCAAATTGCTATCCGAGTTTGGCAACAATGTGCAAACTAATTTGAAGTCCAAGGTCAAGCAGTTTGGTCTATATTTCGATGGCGAAGGCGTGATGCGATCTTGTGGAAGAGTTAATGCTTCATCGCTTCGACCAAATAGCAAAAATCCGATCTTTCTGCCAAGCAAGCACCAGTTTGTCGAATTGTTAATCCGCCATACACACAATCAAATAATGCACAGTGGTGTTCGGGACACCTTGACTACATTAAGAGAGCGATTCTGGATCTTACGCGGGCGAGAGACTATCAAGAAGATCATCAGACATTGCGTTGTCTGTCGTAAGTGAGAAGGTGGTCCCTTTAAGTAACAACCAACTCCAGACCTGCCTGCGATCAGAGTTTCCGACGACCCTCCATTATTCACTCATGTTGGCTTGGACTTCGCCGGACCGTTATTTATTCGATCCAAGCCAAATGAATCACCCACAACACAGAATGACAGTCCAACCATCAAAGTCTACGTATTGTTTTTTACCTGCGCGTCAACAAGGGTTGTCCACCTTGAACATACTCAAGGAGTTAGCGTGGAAGCATTTCTACTTGCGTTTAGACGGTTTTCTAGTCGACGAGGATTGTCAGCCACAATTACATCCGACAATGCTAAAGCTTTCAAGTCATCCAGTAAGGACATTGGGAAAATAATTCGATCACAAGAAGTATGTGGGTACCTGGTTGATAAACGCGTGAAGTGGCAGTTTATTGTCGAACGCGCCCCCTGGTGGGGCAGCTTCTGGGAACAGTTAGTACGCAGTGTCAAGCGGCCTTTGAAACATGTCGTTGGTCGCTCAACTCTAACGTACGACGAGTTACACACGATCTTAGTCGAAATCGAAGCAATTGTCAATGCGTGTCCTCTGGCGTATGTCTACGACGATGAAGAGTCAAACTACGAACCCTTGACTCCTTCGAATCTCATTTATGGTCGACGTATAACTACGAGTCCAAACAGTTCGCATCACGAAGTCATGAGCACTAATCGGTCGCTAACTCGAAGAGCTCGACACCACAAGCACTTGTTGGAGCAAGTCACAAAGCAATGGCGAAGAGAGTACCTTACTAGTTTGTGTGAGCAAGCGTCCGTGAAGTCAAAAGCTAACGGCTCGGGTTCCTCCATTTCCCAAGGGGACGTTGTTATCGTAAAAAACGAGTCGACACCAAGAGCGTTTGAGACTTGCACAAGTAGAACAATTACTCCCAGGGAAGGACGGCAAGATTAGATCAGCGGTTATTAAGCTTGGAGGTGGCAACGCAAGCACGACAAGATGACCAATCGAACTGCTGGTACCGATCGAAGTAAAATCAAGCACACCAGAAATCGTTTCAAACAAAGATGAAGCGGTAGCTGAGAAAGATGCAGCAGGTGATGAAACCGCCAACGGACAAAGTCGAAGAACTGCCGCGGTTGTTGGTGAAATGAAACGAAGGGACGGACAGATGCTTTAGTGAAAATCGATATACTTAAGATTCATTATCATATATTTACATAGTTACGTTACGAACGTTTATCACTTCACTGATTCAGTGAATAAACATTGGGGAGTGTCATGAACGGGATATTTTATTCTTTCTATTTCTATTACATATTAACAGTTTTGTTGTCATGGAGATTGAACTCCTTGCATGGTTAATCATATGCATGATTTGCCATATAGATGACGTAGTTAACCACGTGATTATAGGGTGTGACGTATAATATTGGGGATTGTTATGGTAAGATGATTTTTGTGTGTAAAAAATGTAGACCTGTCTGTAGACCTAATTGTGTTTTAATATGATCAAAGAAACGAAAATCGCATCCTTCATAAAAATAACATCCAGCAATTTGTCACTTCAAAGACTAGTTGCCTTTTCTGGGAAAAGTCTATTTGTTAAATTGTCCATTCTGCTATTAATGTCCTTTGGCAAAATGACCATTCTGCAAAAATTTCTTTCGACTAGGAATCGACTACAACTGTTCCACTGCAGTACGATTGCTAATAATTAATACACCCAGTACAGTAATTTAATTATTTACAGTACCTATATAGTACTTTTTGTTTTGGTGTTTTCATTCAAACCAGAAGGAGAATAGCTTCTTGACCACTCCCAGCAATACACCATGCATGTAATCGACTGGCATACCACGGATGATGTCAAAACGTTCAACTAAACATAGTTGTGAGACCATTTTGACTCCGCAAACCTACATGTAAAAAAGTACAACACTCAGTATTAGTAGTTTGCTATTGACGCCATTTTGGTTGATTTTTTAGCCATATAGACTGTATGACTATGTATAATATTGTTAACTGTTTGTAAAACATGCCAGGACATAGTAAAATCAACTCAATTTCTTCACCGTAACAGTTAAAGAACAATTTAAAATCAACTGTGATGGCACCCTTTAATGACATGTACATGTAATGATGTGCCCCACTTTTATTATTTTACTTTGTCTAACATCAGACGATTTTGCTCATCAAGGGGAGAGTGCTTAAGTGCTCAAAGGGCCATAGTCCAATAGAAATAGACAATAGACACCAATAGACACCAATAGACACCTTCCTTAGTACAGCCGCTGACCATATTCCACGTAAGTCACTCAAGAAAAACAGTTCTCCTCCCTGGTTCGACGGTGAAATATAACACCTTATTAATAAGAAGGATTTTTGCAGAAAAAGGGCAAAACAGCCGCTGAATCCAAGTGCATGGGAAAAGTTTCGAACTCTAAGGCGTCAAGTCACATCATTGTTGCATGACAAACATAAAGAATTCTTTCAAAATCTGCCTGATCTCTTGAAAACAAGTAGCAAAAAGTTTTGGTCCGTTTTTAAGTCAGTCTCCAAACATTCGAACATACCAAACAAAGTCTCTTGGTCTAAAGATCCTACAACGCATATCGCTGCTAACAACCCTGCGGACATTGCAAATGTATTCAACCGTTATTTTTTCTCAGTCTTTAACACTGCCCAATGCCACGATTCACATTGTCACCTCGACCAAGAAAACTATAATACCATTGACACACTTAAGTAGACACACTGTACTTGGACTTTGCCAAGGCATTTGACAAAGTAAACCATGAACTGCTGCTTTTGAAATTGAAACGTTTTGGCATCTCCGGTAATCTCCTATCTTGGCTACGTGATTATCTTTCTGATCGCTACCAGAGGGTAAAGGTTCTCGGTGAGACCTCGAATCCATTACCTGTCCTATCTGGTGTGCCACAGGGATCGATACTAGGACCACTACTTTTCCTGGTTTATGTAAATGATCTTCCCGACTGTGTCTCAAGTTCTTCATCATTGGCAATGTTTGCGGATGACTCTAAATGTTACCATCCCGTTAAATGTTCTGAGGACGCCGAAGTCTTGCAGTCTGACGTAAATGCTCAATTGGTGCAAGGAGTGGCAGATGTCTTTAAATCACTCTAAATGTGGTCTTCTTCGCATTACAAGAAATTCTCAACTGATCCATTACTCTGACAACGTGGAAGGCAACTTACTTAAAACAATCAACAAACAAAAAGATCTTGGTGTTATAGTCTTTAAAGATCTCAAATGGAGCCTCAATGTCCAAGCTGTCTCAAATAAGGCCAACAAAATGTTGGGGTTTGCGAAAAGATCGTGTTTTCATGCAAGTGACCCTAAAGTACAAAAGACCCTGTATTTAGCCCTAATAAGAAGCCAGCTTGGTTACTGTAGCCAAGTGTGGGCACCCCAAACCACCCATGACATTCAAACCCTGGAACGAGTTCTGCGTCACAGCACAAAGTTTATTTTATCTCTTCCATTTCAAACAGATATTTCATATCCTAGAAGACTTGCTAAGCTCAACATTCTTCCAATTACCTACTGGCATGAATACCTGGATCTTGTTTATCTATTCAAATGCATTTATGAAAATTCCGACAAAAATGTGAAACTAAATTCATCAAATCGTGTAACCAGATGCTCTAGTTCTACATCAGGACTCTTTCTTCAGATTACCAAATCAAAAACAGTAACCTTTCAAAACAGTTTTTATATCAGAGCATGCAGAATGTGGAACACTCTACCAATATCTTTAAGAAACTTAACTTTATTGTCTTTGTTTAAACGTTGTCTATTTAATTACTATTTTTTATTAACTTCTAATGTTTATAACCCAGAATTGCCGCACATAGACCATGGGCCGACCGCCAAAAAGTCATCGAAAAAGTAAATGGGTATGCGCATATCGAGGAACCACCTGTTTTTTTTAAGACACGTACCTGAAGTATAGATGATTAATTTCCAGATGTATGTCAAATCGGAGATGTGCACATTAAGACAAAAATCGACATTTTG